GTTAATACATCAAATTTAAAACCTAATTAATATGGAAGCACATTATCAATTTATTTCCATGTAGGCAAGTCTTCAGGATTTGTGAAGCATTAAAAAATACCACCAACAATATAACTTAGATAATGCTCAATGTTATCCGTGCTCTCCCATCACCTTTGTGGAAAATGAGTGTTTTTGATACTTGCTTTGCTACTAGAGGTATTTGTACATCATAAATAATTTTCTTTACTACCATAAAGATAATAGCTTCTTTATGATATAGGTTATAATAGTGATGGTTATTAAATTTTCAAATGTCTATATGCTTCATTTATGCCAGCAAAAACTAAACATAAAATACTTCAATGTACTGTAACCTGTGACTGAACTTTAGGAGTAAGTTAGTAAATTCATTTTTAGTAGCAGTTCAAATATCACAGATATTACTTAGGTGAAATCTAAATTGTCTATAATTTTTAATGCCTTGAGACTATATAGCCACTTAGCTAAAAATAAATAAATAAGTAAAATATTATAAATATTTTCACTATGCCCAGCCCTTAAATTTTTCATTCTTTTTTCCTTTGGCTTTAAAATTTGTGCAATTTTAAATTCTCAAACTAAAGTGGTGGGAAAAAGTGTGGAATAAATTAAAATAGTCCTTAGGCATGTAAACAAACAAATAAGGTAAAAACACAAATTAAAAACACATGCAAATATATGAGAAAAACAGAAAATGTAGTGAATTCTCGACTATGATTCTAGCAGAAACACAGGTGTGATTTCACTATGTATATGTATTATCTTTGTAACCATAAAAAATGACTTTAAAAGTTGTCTTAAAGGAATCAACTTTGCACACATAGATATCACTTTAACATTAGCCTTCACCTTCCCTCTTATTATCATTGTCCAAACACTAATTTCTAGAAGCCACACACTCCATCATACAGACACATATTAATCACCTTCCTATTTCTCACTCTCTCAGGACTTCATCAGAGAGATGTACTTTGGACTGTATAGCTCAAAGTCCCATTAATGATGACGAGTCAAGGATATTTTGGTACATGCTACTACATGCATTCTGACCCATGCAGTAAATGGAGAACATCAGCAAAAAATAATGAACGAAAAGAAAGGAGAAGGGCGGGGAAGTGGTGAAGACAGATGCCAAATAACATTAAATAACTAGCCCCAAAAGATAACTAGGTCAGAAAAAAATAGCATGCAAACAGTTAGAAATTAACCTTCAGTTGTAAATGTTGTTGCTACAAAATTCTCAATCTTGCTACTTCTTATCACTTTGACTTAGCTTACCAGAATCATAGCTTGGAGGCTTCATATCGCCCTGGTTCAATTCGGTCCCATATTTCAACTTGTGGTATTTGGCTCTAACAAAGAAATGAGAAAATACATATCATCTTAAAATATATTTCAATGAACTTTAAGGTATGCAATTGGGATACTCCAATGGGCAGTCGTCCTAAAAACTTCAAAGGTTCCAAATCATCTATGTGTCAAAATCATAATACAAATCTCCTAACACAGGAATGACACTTGGAACCACACACCTCTTTCTGTAACTAGAAATGAGCCACAGAAGTTTCTGGTTTTTGCTAATTCAAATTTGCCTGGTGACTGCCAAAGCAGAACCAGTGGAAAGGTTTGTATAGTGAGATAAACTTGTGAAAGCCCACACTTTCTCAAAACATAGTGTTTTTAATAAGAAAAGTAATCTATAATTTTATGTATATTGTCAAGTCTAAAATTATGATTCAACAAGTAAACACACTAGTGAATAATGCAAGGAGGCAAAAAATAAAACAGCCCAAATCATCAATGTCAAATAAGATTTTTTTAACAAAGATATCCTTTACTCAAGGAGAACTGTAAAAAGAAATATTATCTACTTTCTTTTAAAAATTCTGAGAGTTTTGTTATTTCTATATAACTTTAACCATCTCAGATTTATTCATTTGGATCCAGAAAAATAGTTCAAATTACATAGAAATTGAAAAGGTTAACTAAATATGGCTACTTGTCAATATATTTGTATACTGTTTGCTTCCCACAAAACATTTAAGGCCACATACAATAAGCATTAAAGGAGCCCTGGTGGAGAAGTGGGTACACATTGTACTAACCACAGATGAGCAGTTCTAAACCCACAGCTGCTCCTAAGAGATGAAGGAGGTTTTCTATTCCTGTGAAAGTTACAGTTACAGACTCAGAAACTCACAGGGGCAGTTTCAGGGTCACTATCAGTCAGAACTGACCCACTGGCATGTATGTGCATATATACACTGATGAATACACACATACACACACACAATAAAGAGCTTGGTGGTGCAGTGGTTAAGCACTGGACTGCTAATCAAAAAAATCAACCATTGAGGGAGAAAGATGGTGCAGTCTGTGCTTCCATAAAGATTTGTGATCTTGGAGACCCTATGAGACCCCACAAGGTCATGGAGTCTAGCACTTGGAGTCCCTGCTCTATCCCCCAGGGTCACTATCAGTCAGAATGGAGTTTCAAAGGTAAGAAAAATAACTATCCAAGGCACTAAGAACTAGGATAGTAATAATAATAATGGCAAAAACAATTTGAAAAATCAAAGTAATGAAGAAGGAAGAAAAGAGGTACATAGCCAAGTTTGAAAGTTACTTCTTTCTGGAAAAAAAAAAACAAAAAACAAAAAAACACTTGAGGGCATACCAAAATGTTTTCATAATAGGTAAAATCCTTTCATGAAATTCTATCTAATGATAGTAACTACTTTGTATTTGCAACTGAAAAAGGGAAAAAGCTTAAGAAAACCTATAAAAATGAAACGTGGCTCAGTCTGCAGAAGGCTGTGGATGACTGGGAAAGCCCAAAACCCTTTAGCAGCAGAGTCCCCCATGCAGATTAAGCCACTGATGAGTCCCGTCGAGGAAGGACCAGGGATGAGGAAGGCCTTTTAGCAGACAGAGCACATTGTAGGGGGATTACTGTAGCCATATGTAGGGCAAAAAGTAACATCACAGGATCTCCCTCTTGATCCAATGTATAATTGTTCTAGTTTTTACTTTGTTTTCATTCTTGATGGAGGTTTTCCTCTGTTTCATTCAGTCACTGTTGTTGGACCACTTGTGTTTTGTTCTGATTTGTATGTTTTTCTGCATATGAAACCCAGGACATGTAAACTTACAGAGACAACAGACTCAAAGGAACATGGGCAAGGGAGACTGGTGGGGAAGTGGAAACAACGAGAACAAGGAAACAGAAATGTCCTGGAATTGAATGTGGTGGTACTGAATTAAGAGTTATTACTGTTGGCAGTCTTTTATTATTATTATTTAAAAATCATTTTATTGGGGGGGTCTTACAGCTCTTCTAAAAAATCTATACATCAACTGTATGAAGCACGCTTGTACATATGTTGCCATCAGCATTTTCGAAACATCTTCTTCCTACATGAGCCCTTGGGATCGGTTTCTTTCCACACCCCCCGAAGCTGTAAATCTTTATGGGAGCAGACAGCTTTATCTTTTCTCCCTTGGAGAAGCTCAAAGATTCAAACTGCTACCTTCAAGTTAGCAGTCCAACATGTAAGCCACCAGGGATGATACACAGACTATAGTTAATAAGGTTTCCTTTGGGATAAAACAATCAATGAACTGGGGCAGAAGGGAAACTTTTTCTTTGTACTGCTTGGTTAATTTACCAGAAGTAGATATTTATTCTTTAAGATAAACTTTCAGTAAATAACTCCGGCCTAAGTTATCTAGACCATCTTGTTCTCTATGCCTCTTTTTATTAATACCAGACTCAACATTTCCTAATCTATTTCAATGTGTTTATGATAATGTTGATTTATAGCCATAAATTTAGCTTGTAGTCCTTAGAAAGTAAACACAGTTTTCAATGAAATTTTCAATCTTCATTATTTTCCAGAAACGTCCTTCATCTATCGTAACACAATATAACATAATATCCTAGAAGTCCAAAGAGCAATTGAAAACAACTAATCTAAGGGCAGATTATACTAATGCTTTTAAAATAAAAGTAGCAATAAATTTTTATACAGTTAACTTCTATAGATTATTTTTATATATGTAAAAGAGATTTTCCAAATACAAAGAGTATTCTAGTAGCCTTAGGAAAAATTACAAAGCTAATAAAAAAGAGAATACAAAATTATCTATAAATGTAACAAAAATGATCGACTGTGAAATTACACTCATTAAAATTTTAGGCAAAGACAATATTTGTAATGAACTGAAGTGTTTACTACAAGTTTCGTGTACTAACATCAGGGTCACACTACTGAACTTTTAAGCTCAGTGAAAAAGGTTTCATTTGCAGAATCTTCCACAGGTATTCCTTTTGAGGCCAATTTGCTAAAATCTCTTCAGGCATATCGTTTTCCATGGTGTCAACACTGTGTGACCAACCTTTTTTTGTGCTCTATTCTTAATTGTGACGGCAGGAAATGGGTAAATCTAATAATTCTGATAGATATAGCTGGACTCCCCAACTTACCCCCAAACTATACAGTTGTAATATACTAAATTAATTTCATTCAAATTTTGTTCCAAAGCCTAGTATTACAGGTAATGTGATAGGAATATAATATAGTATTCAAATCACCTTTAAAAAAAATCATTTTACTGGGGGCTCGTACAACTCTTATCACAATCCATGTATACATCCATGGTATGTCATGCACATTTGTACATTTGTTGCCCTCATCATTCCCAAAACATTTGCTTTCTACTTGAGCCCTTGGTATCAGCTCCTCATTTTTCCCCTCCCTCCCTGTTCCCCCCCTCCCTCATGAAATTTTGATGATTTATAAATTATTATTTTGTCATATCTTACACTCTCCGATGTCTCCCTTCACCCTCACATCACCTTTTAAAGTGTCAGTGCTAAAAACAATTTGATTCAATTCAATAAACTTATTGATTCCAAAGATATGCCAGGCACTGTACTGCCTATTGATAATAACCTGAAGTGTGCAATTAGGGTAGAGGCAAGAGGATTCCTAAGAGACAGAAATATAAATAAATAACTACGGCACACTGTGATAAGCGCTCTAAGAGTTATCATATCAAGCGTTATCAGGAATGCAGATAAGGGATTATCAAGTTCTGACCAAGGTGGTGTCACAGGAGAGTTTAGCCAACCTTCAAAAGGCCAGTAGAAGTTTTCAAATCAGATAAATGGATTAGTGGAGAGAGGATTTCTGTCAAAAGGCCATCAGAAAAGGAGCATCATTAGAAAGCAGGTCAGAGAAGTATATACAGTATCTGAGTTTTATGGAAATACTGCAGGCAGGGATGACAATTAGGCTGTTGTAGCAATGAAGATAAACAATAAATAGAGAACCAAAAAAATTGCTTTAAAGAAATGGAAAACCGTGGGCAAAAAAGTTCAGAATTTTATTTTATACAGTATTTGTGGTTCCTTAGTACAAGAGTTGCTAAATAAACCTCAAAATATACATGGAGTATTCTTTAAAATGTTTTATGTATATTTATTTTGTAAATTGTGTCACACTTTAAAGAATGCTTTGATAAATTCACTGCCAGGTGAGTGACCCTTCTGTAATGTTAAAGATTGACTCAAGTTTTATTAAATTGTGGATCTTAAAGTTGGCTAATTTTTAAAAATCTAAAAGAAAGCCCCAACGACAATAACAAAAAAATGTGGCATAGTATGATGTAGTCAATGAATATGGCCCTCCTAGCCATAATTCCTTGTGGGATATATTATAATTCTGTAACTCTATGGTTTTGGCTATAATTTCATTTTGAAAGGCATTTCCTGCTATGCTAATTGATTAAAGTTGGATTAAGTCTCCAATTTAGTAGAGGCTGGGAACCAAGTCACAATCCTTTGTTTCCTGCTGAAAGACAAAAATCACATCTCTATCAAAGCCATTCCTCTGTGCCTTAAGAGCCATCTCAGAAGCACAGGGAGAAACCCTCAGGACCATCGGCAATGGAGCGCATTCAAGATCTCTGTCTGAATTGGCAGAGACAGAGATCAGAGGCTATAGCACAGACACCATGTGACAGAGCAAAGGAGGCAGGCAGAGACCAAAGGCCAAGACAAGGAGGCCATGAGGCAGAGCAGAAGGGTGGGCTTCCTGCTCCATCGAGGCAGAAGCCAAGAGACCAGGTGGCTGAGAAGCTGAAGACCAAAGAGAGGCGTGGACCAATGACGGCATCCTTACTGTTTCCTGGTTTGTAGTGACCTATCAACTTCCCTAATAAGCCACCATAATTGTGTTACCTGTGAGTTCTGTGTAGCCACTGCAACCAATTATCAAACTCAGCTAAGATGTAAAATGCATGGGAAGAACGGCTGGAAACAGAATTGGTAAAGGATGATACAGGTTATCTGCCTCGTGGCAAGAGGGAAGCAGAAGGAAGCCAGATATAGCCCCTCCTTGATGTTTTCCCATATAAAAATTAAAAACCATAATCCTTAAGTGTTTGTTGGTAAAATGACAAGATACATGAAAATTGCTTTATATGGGTCAAGATGAAATAAGACAGTTCTGTTAACTGCTGAAGCCAGAAGACAGATACGAAAGGGATCGTTATACTAGTCTCTATCTCTCAGTTTGAAAATTTCCCTTAATTAAAAAAAAAAGTAATAATTACTCCCAGTAAGGCACTAGAAAAATGATTTCTACTATAAAGAACTGAATAAAATGTTCTAGCTCTCCAAGCCACAAGGAAATGCCTCCTTATTCCTTAGTTCACTGCAGTTAAATAGTGCTACTACATCAAGAATAATCCTAACAATTCTATGAACTTCAAAAGGACGTGTACTCAAGGATTCTTTTCCAGAAATATCTCATTCAACAGAACACACTGCCACGGAGTCAATGCCGACTCAGAACAACCATACAGGGAGAGCTGCCTGTGAGAGTTTCTGTGCGTTGACTCTTGGGGGAGTACACAGGCCTGGCTTTCTGCTTAAATAGCCCATTAGTTGGGGGGGGGGTGGAGTCTTCCTTAAATCTGCCAATTTCTTATCTCTCCTGTCCCTCAAACAAATCATTTAAAGACTATCTCTGCCTCCATTTTACGCCTTCTTATCCCTCAATCCCTGGGATCTGGTTTCTGTTCCTACACCTCACCAAAGTTACTGACCATCGATACCAACAAGCTCCCAACTATTAAATCCACTTGATTCTCTGCAGCCAACAACTTACAGTACTTGGGATCTGTTATATGACACTGTTGAAATCCCTCTTCAGCTAGCATCCAAAATGCTACCTTCCTTCTTCCTCCTCTATGTATTTCTTTGTCAGTTCTTCTTCCTGTTTCTCCCCCTCAAATATTGCTTCTCTGGTGGTTCTTGCTCGTTCTCTCTTCTGAAGAACTGCTGCACTTTAACTACCTGTGTTTCATTTGGCAACTACAGAAGTCGCTCATAACACACTCAAAACTCACTGCCATCAAGTCAATGCTGGCTCATAGTAACCTCCCATGAGTTTCCAAGACTTTAACTGTTTATGGGAGTAGAAAGCGCATTTTTTCCCCTCGGAGCTGCCAACCTTAGAGATTGAAGCCCAATGCATAGCCACTACACCACTAGGGCTCCCTCAAGTCAGAATGAGATTCATTCATGAACCTGAATCATAGCTTAACTATAGGTCTGCAACTATTCACAATTACTCCGTTTCTAAGCCTTGAGGCCTGGTATATAGTAATTTAAAATAGTTGCTAAAATTAATGACATTATTCTCTTTGTTATAGGTTACAGGTTCTCTTTGGTTATAGGTCTATAATTTGTTGTTGTCAGGTACTGTTGAGTCAGCTCCTTTAGCCATCTCAAAATGTTCCCAAATTACATACTTTTAAAGTCTTTTCCTCTCATCTCTCCTTCTGTATGCAACCTTCAGTCAATCGTTCAAACAGTTTAAAAAAACCAACTGCTGTCAACTCTGACGCACAACATCCCCATGCACGTTAAGAGTAAAACTGCTCCATGGGGTTTCCACTGACTGATGCTTCAAAAGTGGACTGCCAGCTCTTTGTTCCAACGTACCTCTGGTGGACTCCAATTGCCAACCTTTTGGTTAGCAGCTGAACACTAAGGTGTGAAAACACTACCTGTTCGTCACTAAAAGGTTACTAGTAATTTGTTTTCAATCTTTTGTACCACTTAAATATTTACTGGGAAGGTGGATATAGTTTAATACGGTTTCTATCAATACCTGTTTCTTGATGTGTAATAAACTACTAACTGATCTTTGTGCCCAAATCCCTGGAATACAGCTTCTAAATCCTTAGAATTTCCTGAATGACTTTAGTACCATTATTATTCTTCAGGGGTCCCTAGGACTACCTCTGATAGCTTCTGCCAACCAGGTGACCATGGTGGGTCCCTTGATAGTGTACGTTAATAGGATGACTGATAATGAAGGCTGGTCCTCCCAGAAAGACACACCATGTAATTAGAGGGGACTGGATACTGAAATAGATCATATGGTCAATGATCTGATTAATCATGCAGATGTAATAAAGCTCCAATAAAGTCTCTAGAGACGGAAACTTGGGAGAGCTTCTTGCTTGGCAGCATTTGTCACACTTGTCACACGTCAATGTGCTGGGGAATGACACATCCTGACTCCACAGCCAGAGGACAAGGAAGCTCCTAAACCTCGCTGTGAGTCACTCTCTTTGGCTGGTTCTGATTTTCATCTTTTTTTTCTTTCTATAATGAAACTGTAATCATAAGCAGAGCACTTTCCTGGGTTCTGTAAGTCATTCTAATACAGTATCAAGCCAGAGAGGGTAGCATAAAACTCCCAATCTATACAGGGAGCTGGTCAGAAGTGAGGGTAGCCTAAGTCTTCCTACACTTGAAGCTGGTCTGTACGTGAAGGCAATGTGAGTCCTAAACCTGTGTAGTCTGCCATAATCTAGGTATTAAGCACTTCCAAAAATCTCTGTATTTTATATTCATCAATATTGCTGCCTATGAAATTTATCACAGTTTTGTAAGCAGCTTATTCACAAACTCCAAAAGTTTGAGAAAAATATGGTAAGCAATCCTTAAAAATCAAGCATAAAGGCAAAATAAAAACTGTTATATCGCCTAGCAAGTATTTAACTACCGAAAACAAACAAACAAAAAACGGTCTCAGGTTGCTAACAAAAAATACAAAAACTATTGTGTTAATGCATATATATTTAAATCATCTGATGATTCCCCAAATCTCATGACTTGATTTCTTTTAATTGCAACTCGTGGTTACTTAGATGGGTAACTTCTACTGCAGCAAGAAGAAGGAAGAACTAGCTTCTCGAGAGACAAAAAGAACTTAAAACAAAGTAACAAAATACAAAAAGTCTGTAAGAAGAATCTCATCTTATATGGTCAAAGCAAACCCCCCAAAATTAATAAACAAATAATAAAAATGTATCTGGTTGAACAATAATAGGCGATAGAGAAAACAATCATTATCTTACTTCTCAGGAATCTAAACTACATTACACACTCTAACTTATTAAAGTAACTCTCACATCTTGAAGGAGGCTAGGTGTCAAGTTGGTTCAGATTCATAAAGAGATAAGTTCCCTTTGCAATTTAAACACTATTTCAGTGCTACTGGGGGAAAAAAGACATTCATATTTGATAAGTATTCCTTCTGATAAAAGGGCACAGTAGGGGAAAAACTATGAAAACATTTTTAAATCATATCAATCAATTTATTGATAATTATTATTACTAAACTACTCATAATGAAATTAATATATTATGACCACCTATAAAAATGGTTACAACAGAAGCTCCGTCCTGAATTAAGCCTCTTAGACTATTAAAATGCCCATTTGTTTAAAGACTGACAGAAAATTACTCAGTGGCTGCAAAGACGCTGTGTTCCACTTCACTAATTTACCTTTCCTGTTTGAGAGCGTATTCCAGCATCTTGATCCTTCTCACCAAATCCTTCTTCAGATTTTCTTGACCTTTCCTTTCTCCTTGAAGAAAGGCAATCTGGGCCTGAGGAGAAAAAAGAAAGACAAAATTCAGCCTAACTCAAATGAATTTTAAAACAAAAACGTCTGTTGAGGAATGAACCTTTAAAAGGTAGCAAAAAAATTTTAAGTACAAAAAGAATGCCTTTCTTTCTGTCACAAAATGTATCTAGAAAAGCATCAACTGTAAGAAAAAAGCACATGAAGTTTAATTAAATTTAAAAGAGCACCTATATGCATTTTACTTTAGACTAGAAAAGTTATACTGTGTAGTCCATAACCTCTATGCGTATAGTAAAAAAAAAAATCAAGGCAAGCACAGACAATATGCAAGGTGTGTAGTACTCGCTTCTCGGATGTTTGTCTTTCATGGCCTTGAGGGACAGTTCATCTCTGAGAGTGAAGATGAGGAAAAGGGCAAGAATAAAACCATGTATTCATATAATCCCTGTAATAATTCTCAGCTTTTCACCACATGGATTTCTTGTTTTGATTGGGTTTATTCTAGACCGCCCCATGCCATTTTTAAGAAATTTATATGCAGGGGGAAAGTGAAATTGGAAAAGGAAAAATCAGAGCAATACCCCTCCATCCATGTCAGATCCCTCAATAGAATTACTCGTCAAACTCTGTATTTTAACATAAACTGTAAAATTCTTTCTCCAGTAAAACCGAGAGGTTAGGAAAAAGGTCCTGTCCAGAATCAAGAAAGCAGGCACTCAAAATAGAAATATCTTACTTCTCAGGAAGCTAAGCTACATCACACACTCTA